CTGCAGAAAGCTAAAATTTATTTATTCCTCCACGACCGCGGACACGCCGGCGCGGCGTGTCAGTTAACAATAGATTTCTTAGAATTTTAATTAATTTCTTAGAAATTTACCTAGAGGTGTTAAGCTTGCTTTTGTCCCTGGCTCTTCTCGCGTGATTCACGTATAACTACTCCACTTCTAAAAGCTGCAGAGTGATGTTAGATATCCTTTCAACCTACCTTTTTAAACTTTATACGTTAATGTTTAAACTCAATTAGTTATGGTCGATTTTTGAATACAAGGCGATCACGATTAGATTTAATGTAACAAATAATGGACATAAATAGTATTTTGAATATAGTCTATATGCGAGATAAGCCTGATAATAAGATATGATAGCAGACGGTGACAACTGACAATATATGAATGCGGACAATAGAATGTAATAAGAGGACGTTGAATAAATGACTCTGTTTCTTCAACAATCTATCTAAGAAAAAAGACTTTTTCGTATATTATGTATGTACGAATTCATTCGTTCATTTTCATATTCAATACATATAATATCAAGCTAATAATAATGAATTTATTTACTTTTTATTACTCAAAAGTCTTTTATATTTACACGAATATTTGGCATTATAAATTTATTATATCGGACTTTTTAACAGTTTTATTACGATTTTATATTATTTTGATTGTTTTTAGCACAAATAGTTTTATTTAAAATATATGTAATTTAGCAGAAATATTAATTATTGCCTAAAGTGTTGTATAGGAAATCATATAGGTAATTACTCGTATAATCATGTCATTTTTAACTGCCCTTTGCCTCGTTCTAGAATTATTATTTAGACAAGTTGATTTTAGCGTATTTAATCTACTAGCGACTTACCTTCGCTCCGCTCGGGTTCATCCCTATAATTTCATTATGTAAAATTCTAAATCAATCGAATCTGAACATTAAATATTTTTTGGTAAATCTTATTTAAATAGTCATTATTATCGATACAGAGGCCGAATTTATAGTTTTTAGATTTTTTGTCTGTATGTCTGTCTGTCTGTCACATCACGAGCGAACCATTAAACGGATTTTGATAAAATTTGGTATGATGATAGCTGGTTATCCGGGTCAACATATAGGATACTTTTTACTGTAGAAAAATATTTCTTCTCTGAGAAATCTATACTGAACGTTAAATATATAACTGTGTAGAACGAATTAATGAATGAATTACATAAGATTATAAAAGTAAAAGGTTATGAATAAGTCAATGTGCCCATGAGCGTGTGTTATTAATTCTTTAAGTTGCAACGGCTCAAAGGATTTGATTGAATTGCGGGATGGAGAAAGCTTATCTCCGATTAACACAATTTTTTTCCAGCTGTGGCCTATTGGAAAAGCGCTCGCTTGGGAAACCATTGACCAAGTAAATGATGCGAGTTCCAACCCCGCGTCTCGCACCGTTGATATTTTCATATACGAATCAATTACAACATGAGTATAACATCTGAGAAAACCTGCAGTCTGAGAGAACTTAGCAAATCGAAATTCATGTGTAGTTCGCCAACCTGGACCCTCTTGACATTAAAGAAGATGTGAAAAAGGGCTGAATACAATACACTTCTAATGCGAGCGAAGGCACGAGTAATAACGAGTGACAATCAAATGTTGACTAATTGGCCTAGTAATCTATACATATAATAAAATTGTAACGAAGCCGAATCTGTACATTAAATATTTTTTGGAAAATCTTATTGAAATAGACATTATTATCGATACGAAGTCCGAATCTATATTTTTTAGATTTTTGTCTAGATATGTCTGTCTGTTACCGCATCACAGAAAAACCACTGGAGCGATTTTGATTGAACTTTTGTATGATGATAGGTGGTTATCCGGGTCAACATATAGGATACTTTTTACCGCGGGAAAATGTCTCATTTCTGAGAAAAATACAGAAACTGCAATGTAAGAGTATACTAATATGTAAAACCTAAGAATTTGGTTTTTGGTCATCTGAACGCGGGCGGAGCCGCGGGCAATGCTAGTACGAATATATAACACCATTCTATACCACCAGTAGCTAAGGATAGAAGGGCATGGAAAACTACTGCTGCAGCCCTAAGTTCCACGAGGGAATAATAGGACAACATCATCATTCTATACCATCACAACTCACATTATCTCAATATTAAAGGAAAGCGATGAACGGACTAAGAAGAAGTCATAGGAAATTAAGATTAAATTCAGCCTGATATTTCTGTGAGGCTTACTGGTATTATACGTGTCTAATAAGCAAGAGATCACAGTGACAAATACTTTTACACCCTTAGAGTTTTCTGTTTTTTACTAACACGGCTTTGTTGGCTCACTTGTAAAGTGCGATTTGCTTGCAGAATTTTGAAAGCCTGCCTAGATCTAATCTATACTAATACTATAAATGTGAAAGTTTAGATGTTTGGATGTTTGTTACTTAATCACTCGAGAATGGCTGAACGGATCTGGATGAAAGACACAGAGATAGATTATAGTCTGGAATACCACATAGGCTACTTTCTATCCCAGAAAAATGTACGGTTCCCGTGGGATAGATTTGTTTTTGTTTTCTTAGAGGCGAAAATGAGCGAAGCGAGGCTGAACCGCTAGTTATTATTATTAATTAGAAACTGTATGCGAAAACTTAATGAATGTACTAATTTGGTTAGATATATGATATATATTTTATGATGGAACCATAAGGTTCTCTTCAATAGCTCTCCCAACAAATTTTCAATGGTTTGTAGTAAAAGGTTTGAGTTCGAGCGCATTTGAGTCATTTTGATCACTATTGATCAATGTCATTTTTTTAAATGTAAACTCTAGAAGGTATTCCAACTCAATCTGCCTTCAAATATCTGCTGCCTACACCAAAATATTCTGTAATTTAATAAAAATATTCTGTAATAGCATTTAAATTATTTAGAAAAAAATTCAATTACATTGGAAAATTGCTTTGATATTAATATTTATAAAATCATATTTCATCCCAAATAAAATATGAAACCTAATAATACCTCTAGCTACGCCATATAAAATATTTACGAATTATACTCATATCTAAAAGTATTTTATATTAATGTTTTGTCGCAGATGCGAAAAGTGCCTAACTGACAGTCTGGTAGAAAAAACTCCTCTTAAAGCCAGACACGACTCCTTTTTAAGTCAGAATATGAATAGTTTTTAAAAAAAAATCTTTGAAATTGCGCCCAAGATGTGGTGCTGGAGAAGAATGCTGAGAATACCCTGAACGGTATTCAAGATTAACATCTCAATTCTCAAAGAACTAAGCATCAAACAGCGTCTTTCCTCTACAGTTCAGGCTCGAATCCTAAACTATTTCGGTCACGTGTTTAGACGCAATGAACGCTTAGTGGTGCTCGGAAGGATAGAGGGAACTAGAGCGCGTAGTAGATCGGCCATGAGGTGGTAAACCAAGCCAGAGCGGCAGTAGACGTCTCACTGCATTAATGTGCGAGAAAGGCAAACACTAGAGAGGAGCGGAGGCGATTAGTCAAGCGGGTTGCAAGACCTATATGATGACCACGGCCAGTCTTTCAAGACTGTAACAACTAAGAAGAAGATGGGCATAATTACTTAATTTTTTATTATATACTAGTAGGTACAGCTAAGTTTCTTTTCGTGAAAACTTTAGGAACATTTGTGTGGATTCATAAAAAATGAATGACATTTTTAAATAAAACTATCTTTTCGGATTATTTCGCGGATTTATTTTGATTTTTTGTCCAAAAATCAAAATAAATCTGAGAAAAAATCCGAAAAGATAGTTTTATTTAAAAATGTCAAACATTCGCGTAAATCTAAGAAAGTAAAAATGAATGAGTTGAATAAAGTACCTTATGATTTAAACACTAACTAGACGTAATTTATGTAAGAAATACTTTAGTCCATGATCCTCTTCCGGTTTATTTGTTGACTTTGAAGTCAAGCATCGATTCCTTACAGGACTACAATACCAATAACCAACATTAAAGACTGACGTCACTGCTTATAAGGAAGTTTAATTTACTATACAAAAGCTTTTCTTGGACTTCCTAACAGCACCTCAAAACAATTCATCGTTCCTCCATTGATAATATGAGTAATTGATTAGTAAATAAATTTAAGAGTTACAAAAATTTATAACAGTCTACAATTAATATTTTTTAAGCTTAAATAAAAATCCTTTCATATACAGCAACCTAATTGCTTGTAATATTTCTATTGTAACTACAGAGAGACAAGCATCTGGATACTTTATCGCCGGCTCCCAATAACCTATGTATCTTAAATTTTACTTCTAAATATAGAAATTTGACGAAAGTCCATCCCAGTCGCTGGTAAAAAAAATTAAAAAAAACATTATGTACCGCCACAAGATTGACACTGTTAAGGTGTAGAACAATTTTTTTATAAATTATTATAATCTTAATTAAAAAGAAACATACATATTATCTATACATATAATAAAATTGTAACTAAGACGAATCTGTACATTAAATATTTTTTCGAAAATTTGATTGAAATAGACATTATAATCGATACAGAGGCGGATCTATAGTTTTCAGAATTTTTGTCTGTCTGTCTGTCTGTTACCGCATGACGGAAAAACCACTGAAGGGTTTTTGATAAAATTTGTTATGACGATAGCTGGTTATCCGTGTAATATAGGATACTTTTTACCGCGGGAAAATGTCTCATTCCTGAGAAAAAATACAAAAGCTGCAATCTAAGAGTATACTAATATGTAAAACCTAAGAATTTGGTTTTTGGTCATCTGAACGCGGACGCGGGCAATGCTAGTAGTAAATAAGTATATATATTATGTTATCCTAGAAAGTAGAAGAAGTTTTCGAAATACATTCAGTATTTCGAAAAGGCTAAGAGTTATTGTAATTTTGAAAATGCATTTTATCAAATGCGTTTTGCACTTCCAGAGCCATTTCATCCCAAAGGACGCAAATGTCGTTAGCAAATTAGAATGCCCAGACCTAGTTCGACACGTTTTGCTAAATTGTAACTACCGCGTTTATATTTTTTAGCTAAAAATGTTATAAAATTTCATCAAATATTTGCCAAAATAAATTATTTTGACTATCTATCTCGGCACAATTTATATTTATATAAAAATATAAAGAGTGTTTGAAATAGCATTTCTGTGAAACCATACCACTAACAATAGTTAAAAATGTTTTGTTCGTCCGTGTGGCATGACTTTTTAATCCAAATAAAAAAAACCTACAAAAAAATACTACATATTTATATATACCTAGATGTTACGCAATATCTTTGCTATATGTGAAATTCTATTTAATTAATAGGTACCACAAGGGACCTTTAAATAGGTCTGAAGAGAATTTCAGAAGTAATTTTGGAGTCTTGATACCTTTAGAGTAACATGAAATTATATTTCATCCCCATTTTCACCTTAAGGGATAATTTGCGGGATAAAAAGTATCCTATGTCCTTTCCAGGGTCTCAAACTATCTTCTTACCAAATTTCATCTAAATCGATTCTGTAGATCCAGACATTACCCCCTACAACGTCACAAACTTACAATTCACAAAATATACCTCTTTATAATATCAGTATAGATATGTGTATTTTTTTATAATAAAATGCATAATTTCCTTTGTTACAGGCTATCAATACAACAGCTATTCACCATCACACTGTTCACTATCGCAGTCGACATCGTCTCCAGCCTAGCCACAGCAGAGCATCAAGGCCCCCAAACCTGTGGCGGCCGTTTAAAAGGCCCCGTTGGTATAATACAAACACCAAACTTCCCCAACCCGTTTCCCGTCCCTATTAAATGTCGATGGATAATAGAACATGATATCGTGAATGGGACTATATCGATATATTTCACGCAGCAGTACACCACTAGTGGCTTAACCTTCACTGAGTATATGTACTACGATGAATCTTACAAACTCGGAGAGCGCAAAGCTTTGAGCGTCACAGAGGAAAACATCACAAGGATCAAATGGCTTCAGGTAAATTTTACTATATTTTCTGTTTAAAGCTAACATTAAAGAGCTTTGATCTTTTCTTGTATTTTTTTAATATTATTTTTAACACTTTATCATACTTAATATTGTATAATAAAATGGTATAGAAAGATATAAACAAGAAGATGTGCAAAGGTGGCCCTATCAATATAAGCGATCTTTTACATGCTACCGATAATATTTAATAATAATGCCTATAATAATAATAAGCCCTTTAATCCGAGCTGTACGTTTGTGTGACTTTAAAGAATATGTTTTATTTACAATAGGATGTCTCGCAGTTCGGTGTGCCTTTTGGCATAGGTCTCTCCTAACATCTTCCATTGAGTTCACGGGCACACGCCACCCTCCTCCAAAGGTGTCCAACTGTCAGTTTTATGTCATCCTCCCATCTGACTTGTTAGCGTCCTCGTTTGCGTTTTCCGTCCCTGGGATACCAAATTAAAACCGTCAATATTTAGTAAGGAATAAAAATGAAAGAGCAGAAAGGTGCATATAGTGCAAGCTATTTAAAAGTTAATGTAAATAATAAACAAATAAGTTTCATATAACACTATAAGTATATAAAACCTATATTTTACGGTAGAAACATTACGACGTTTTTCAATTATATTCAATACTAGCATTGCCCGTGGCTCCGCCCGCGTTCAGATGACTAAAAACCAAATAAAATAGCGCTATTGTTATTTTTTTTCAAGATAAGCTATTTTTAATAGTTTTTGCCTTATTTAGTAAGTTACCTTGCTAATATATATATACTATTATCTTGGTTTTATTCTAACCAGTTTTTGTATCTTTTCTCAGAAATAAGATATTTTCCCGCGGTAAAAAGTATCCTATATGTTGACCCGGATAACCGGCTATCACCATACCAAATTTCATCAAAATCCCTCCAGTGGTTTTTCTGTGATGCGGTAACAGATAGATAGACAAAAATTCTAAAAACTATAGATTTGGCCTCTGTATCGATAATAATGTTTATTTCAATGAGATTTTCCAAAAAAATATTTAATGTACAGATTCGACTTAGTTACAATTTTATTATACGAGTATGTATAGATAGGTATATTTTTTATACGATATAAATTTTGGTCACGAATATGATAAATAATAAAAGATGATAAATAATAAAAGATATTTATAGATATGATTTCAATAAAAAGGTTTTTGACAAAGTAATATGTATACTTTGTGCTTCAAGGCTTAATGCTTTGGTGTTATCCGTGAATGTAAATGTCTTTTGTCATTGACAAATGTATTATATGAAAATGTACTTTCTATCTCCTACAAAATTAAATCTTCACAACTGAAAAGAAAAATCTAAACGTTTTTATAATACGTTTTAATAATTATCAGCTTTATATTATTAACAATACAAAGAGTTTGTTATTTGTTTGTTTGTATGTGGCTATCTCTGGAAATGCTAGTTAGATTTGAAAAAAATGTATTATTTCTTGAGGAAGGTTATTAGGCTTGTCGTGGTGGAGGGGGCTCACTAGCGTCCGGCAATCCAGCCGGGCGTAAAACAGCACAGACAGAGAGACCCACTTTGGTGGGTGGTGTGCCATGCGGGTTGCTCCTGGTACCTACTTCTCTAACAGCAAACTGCACCAAGGGGGCAAAGATGTGTGCCTGCCGTCAGGATGTCGTGATTGAGTGAAGTGAAAAAAAGTTTATATTATAAAAAGTTTTAACATTTTACAAAAAATATAAGAATAAAAAATTATCTGATTTCCGAGATTCAATAGTTTAAGACGAAATCTCTTCTTCTATGTATGCGTGATATTAAAAAATTGAGCCAATCGAGATCATTATTCAAAACAAATTCGTAGCAGTTTTCTACGATACGAAGTTTATAAGTTTTATATTCAGTACTAACAACTAACAACATAGTGTTCTTAAAAATATTTTATTTTTACTTTGGTTGTAGTTGAGAAGTGTTTCTAAATTGTGTTAAATTTAAATAGGTTTGTTTTTTTTTTATTAAAATTATTATCCAAGTTATATTTATTAAGTTATAATATATGCATAGAAATAATGGGATTATAAATTGCGCTTGCCAAAATTTAGACTGTTTAAAAAAAAAAAATGTCAAATTTTCAATAATTTAAGTGTAAAAATTATCAAAAATATTTCCAAATAACATCCAAAACTAGCAATTTTCAATAATAAATAATTAAAAAATGTAATTAAAATAAATTATTGTCGAATTAATCGTACCTACATACGCAAACATCAGGCCATTTTTAATTCCATTCTTTATTTACACGTGTAAGGTAATTACGTTTAACCAAATAGTAGGGGAGCCCAAGAGGGGATTTTCTGTAGTTACTTGAGCGCAGCAGATTAACATAAAAGAGGTTACCTTGCACTCTATTCAGTACTTTCACCACAATATAAGTCTTCTATATAAAGGGGCGCGTCTAGGGAAGCCGATAAAATATTTAAAAAATGTTTTGATAAGGTAGAAATACTTGAAACCGTCAGATTAAGGTGTGGTAGGCTAGTCACATCCTGAAAAGTGTCCAATTTAATAATCTGCCGATTTGCACAAGCCTAAGAGGCAAAAATCATCATAAACTTTATAGTCGATTTTTGCCTCTTCGGCTTGTTAATATTTTAATCGACTTCCCTAGACGCGCCCCTTTATATAGAAGACTTATATTATGGTGAAAGTACTCAATAGAGTGCAAGGTAACCTCTTTTATGTTAATCTGCCGCGCTCGAGTAACTACAGAAAATCCCCTCTTGGGCTCCCCTACTAAAAAGTTTTCACAACAATCGTTTGATTGGAGTCTACGAGTATATGTTGAACCTTAACTCAACATAAGATAATTAAATGAGTTATCGTCGTCTACATACATATATAAAAATAACGTGGAACAAAAATGACTCTGATAAAATCCATGATTAAAAAAATATAAAAAAAATCATCAAAATAGATGAATTTATCAATATAAATTTATTTGCAAAGATTTCCTACATGCTAACTACCTATCTACCCTTATCGTTGTGATATACGAGCTGTACAATATTTTAAGATTTATTACTCTAAGTGCAATACATCCGACCAAAAATGTAGGTGTATAGGTGTATGTATGAATGTCATATTTAACCCAATTTAACCTAAGCGAAGCCAGGGCGAGTTACTAGTATAAAGTAGTACTGGTCGAGTTAAATAACAATCTGCTCGGCTTCTATTGTATATTCTAAACATGGCAGAAGCCGGAGTTACTTTGAAATAGCATATTTATTCTTGTCCAAGCAACTAATAAATTAATAGTTAAAGTAATTTTTTTTATAAAAATCAAGCATTTATTTAAATGCTCTAAAAAGAAGAAAATAAACTTTAAATTTAATCAAACCCAACAATTTATTACATTACACCATTTATATGATACATATAATAATATTAGTATAGATAAAAGCTAGTCGCGAGATTTACCTATTTTTATATTCTTGTTTATCTACACAGGTAAGGTAAAAAAATAAATAAACATAAAGTATCCATTGATCACTATAAAACATAAGTTTTAGAAGTATTAATAAACTTTAACTTATGTGAATGTTACTTTAGATTATTTTAATACTAGCGACTCACCCTCGCTTCGCTCGGGTTCGTCCCTAGGATCACCCCATAAAAACTTTCATCCCGATTTTCACCCCCTTAAGGAATGATTTCCGCGAAGTATCCCAATCCTTCCCAGGGTCTCATACTATCTCCTTACCAATTATAAACGTAAGAGTAGACAAATATAAATCAGAAAGCTTCGAACTGCTAAGCTATCGGGAGTTTCACGTGTTATTGTGAGTCAACCATAAAAGATAGACATATGCTGTCGTGGGATATTTTTTATATAATTTTAAGGAAAACATTTCCGTCATACATGATTTCTGTGTAGCTTTAACCATTAAGGTTGCACACGCGATGGAAGCTTAAAAAATGGAGTAACTTCTCCCGTTTTCCCAACATTTCCCTTCACTGCTCTGCTCCTATTGATTGTAGCGTGATGAAAAGTATACTTTAACCAGCTCAGGAGTATGAAAAATAATTGTACCAAGTTTCGTTAAAATCCGTCGAGTCGTTTTTGTTTCTATAACGGTTATACAGACAGACAGACAAAAATTTTACTGATTGCATTTTTGGCATCAGTATTGACCCCTAATCACCCCCTGATAGTTATTTTGGAAATATATTTCATGTACAGAATTGACCTCTCTACAGATTTATTATAAGTACAGATTGCACTCTGAAAGTTTTGAAATTCATAAGGCTATTATGCACATGACGACTAAACGCATTATTTATTACGTCGACTAGCATGAACGCACTGTATACGCACATGTCGCGCGTTTTATATCGGTGTGTATGCGATTAATCTGCAGTAAATACTTTTAAGTTTATCAGCGCAGACGACGCGCGTTTATGATTTGCGTCGTAGGCATGTTTATAAAACGTGGTGTGGATACATCCTTAAAATTTATATATATCTGTATAATACATTTATATCTGTATTATAATTTCATTGATTTACGCGACAATTTTACATTTTCAAATGAAACTATTTATTGAATTCAGCTGCGATTTTATTTTAAATTCTTGATCACGATATTGTTCCGAAAAACTGTAAGTAACCCAAATTAAATAATATTTAATCTTATAACTTGTTAAAATTGTTAATATTAAAATTAATAAGCATTGTTAGGTACTTTGGTGCCAATTCTCTATTCTTTCCAATCAGGTAAGTCTAATTTCAAATTCAGGCAAATACCGTATGTAATAACTAGGTATATAATGAATTTAGGTACTTTAAAAACCTCAGTGTTTACCGGAACCATGTTTGTTGTAAAGCATTCAAAACATGGGGAATTTAAATTCAAGATATAACCACAACAAAATGGGAAAGATAGTTTCATTTATAACTTTGTACATACATTTTATCATGATATCCTTTTTTATAACAAGCGCTTGATAAGTTATGTTTCTAAGATTATTATACCTACCTAGGTGTAAACAAGAAACAACTAGAAGTTTTTTACAAAAAAAATCTTCCAAGAGCGTACCTCAATCTGTTAAAGATGAACAAATCTTTTAGTTCCGACAGGAAAGAACAGTAATTACTGAAACAGTTGAGTGATGCCTCAGAAAAAGGGTATTTCCGTAAAAACATCCGGTAGCCTT